TGTGGCTAACGGCAACTGTCAAAGAAACCCTTATTCGGAAAGCCACATAGTTTAGATGCAAATCTGTGACAAAAATCTATAGGCCGACTTACTCCACTATATGATTCCCTTTCTTTGACATTCAGCCAGAGATTTTTATGGGTCTCCCAGGATCCACAGTGTCCGCTTTGATATACGCCTTTGAAGGGGGGGGGGGGGGGGGGATCCGGAAACGGGTAGCTTGGGCTGTCACTATTGCGTAATTGTGCTTGCCCAATGTCTTTATATCGTTTAGACAGTTTAGACAGAAATAATGGACGCGTAAGAAAAGTGAGAGTTTAGCAGTTTTCGGCCCCTGTAAGCAGTGTTAATGGAACGACTCACCTTCGTTAATGACACTCCCGTTACAGAGTTTTCGTCGGCGATAGCCCGTGGTCAGCAGCTTAGTCAAAGCTTGTTTGATATAAAAGGCATGTTCAACGACCAATCAGTTTGCCATCATGATGCCGCTCTGTATATTCGGTGTGCTATCCATCATACGGCACTGTTCAGCTTGCCTTGCAACAGCCACATCACCCGAAGCTTTGTTATCCCTTCTGGCACCCCAGAATCCTTTTCAAACCCCTACAACCAATTATTTTCAACCTCCTGCTTTCCCTCAACCCCAGACACAAGCCTTCGCTCAGCCAACTTGGGCTAATCCTCAATTAACGCCTGCATTTCAAGTGCAACCGCAACCTTTTCCACTAGCGCCTCAAATGCCCAATCCGTTTCAACCTCCACCTAGCCCACAGACCCCGGACCCTGCTGAGGAGGTCCCCTTGACACAACCGGATACAAGTGCGTTCGGATACATCAGAAGCAGCATCCGCTCCAGATGCGGCTGAAGGGCCGCCCTCATCGGCTTCATCTTCTTCAGCCTCTTCGAATGTACCATCTTCTCAGCCGCAACCAGAAACCGCGGTATTGTCCGCAGATGCTTGTAAGTGCCGTTTCATTCAATTTTTTCGTTGACTGAAAATTTTTTCGCTGAAGTGCTACTTGAACTGCACCACCATCCAATAAGCTGTTCGGGCATAATGTGCAAAAAAGTTACAGTAGGTAATTTCACGGCCTCAATTCTCAGTTCCGTTCGGGATTCTCTCTCGATTTTTATTTTAGAGAATAAGCACATATTTTACATTTGTACTGGTCAAATGGTGTGAGTTCCTCACGCTTGTTTAGCCAGTCGCTTGCTTTATTTTACATTTCGAAACATACTACTGAAAAATTCCCGCAAGTTGAGTAAAGTCAAATGCCTCATTGATTCACACTCTTCAGCTTGAACACCAACCCCGGCGTACTGTTGGGTAATTGGTGTATCGGTAACAAACCTATAGTCGCTAAATGACTCTAGGGGAAGAAAAAAAGCAAAAAATTGGAAAGCACCTTGAAGACAGGCGCCCGCATTCACTTGATCGTCCTAGCCCTCCTTAGATATCGTAGCTTTGTCGACAAGGGTCGGGGATCTACTAATTCGCAGCTCGAAAAATACGAAGCGGATGGAAGGTTTACCGCTTTGTCGAAGAGAGGATATCGCCCCACCCACCTGGCTGGCCGTAACTGCTTTGGCTTTATTCTTTAAAGGCGATGAGCCCGCTTACAAAGAATAATGAATATGGAGCTCATAATAATACGTCAAACACTCAGCTAGGGAAGAAAAAAGAAAAAAATCATGGAAAATGCCCTATATAGAACCCTATGCTGGCCAGGTGGGCGGGGCGGCCGACTCTTCACTAGCGAACGGCGCTATCCTCTCGCCTTTTTGAGATGCAAAACTAGTACATACTGTATCCTTATAGGAAGGGCTATGATATCCAGAGAGGGCGCGGGAACATCGAATGAACGTGGGCGCTGCTTTTAAGTGCTAAGAGACCTGTCAGCTCCTTCTGGACGAGTTTTCCTGACCTCCTCGTTTTATTTAGCAAAAGCAATATTCTGCCATCTTTGGCCCCACTTATCGTTTCTTTAGGTAAATCCAGTGCCTAAGGCCAGCGCTTCATAGATCGCCGGCGATCGTCGCGTGCATGGAGCGACGCGCCGCCCAACTCTAATTACCTGGCGCCCGCCGCAGCGGCTCAATTTTATGCTTTTTTTCCTTTTAACTGCAATTTCCTTAGGTACTGAAGCTTGGTTTGACACAAGGGAAGGTGAGCCCAGCTAATCGCTTTTGTTTTCTATTTTCTTTATTATTTAGGATAGAAATGAGCAAAAAGCGCGAGAGCTTCACTTAAGCTCTCGCGCTTTTCGCTCATTCCTCAGCTCAGCTTTTGCCTCAGCTTTTTATGCCTTTCTTTTTTCATTCGTCGTTGTACACGAGGTTTACGAAGATTTTCACCTGTTGATGTCGCCGTTAGGAAAATGATTCATTAGTGCTTTGGTTCCTAGGAGAGTTTCTTTCTGTTTCTTTTTTTTTCTTCGTTGTTTGAACTCGACTTGTAAACTATGAATGTTTTGGAAGTTGGAACAGCTTAGACGATAGGAATTCCTGAGGCGCATGCATAAATTGAAACAATAAAAACAAAAAAGAAGCTCACCCAGGAAATGGAGTTGGTCTTACCCCGACCTAAAAGGAAGTGAAACCTTCTTACCTCATATTCCAGATCTGCTTATGTGTAGAAAGTCGTAGCTTATCTGTTAGTAGCCCTTATTAAGAGTAAAGAAGGTCTTACAAGTTGAATTCCCTTATTCATCAGGCGAGCATCCACAATAGCGTTGGGGCGCGCGCTGCTATGCACCGACGATCGCGGCGATCATGGCGCTGCTGTCGCGAACTATGAACGCTGCCTAATACTAATTAACAGTGAAAAGAAAGCGGAAAACACGGGGTAAAAACTGGATTTGGAAGCGTGAAAATTGTCTCTATATGTCTCAGGTCTGGGCGAGGACAAACTATGGAGGCGTTACCACATAATGAGATTCTCTATTACTACTGTGACAGACGTGAAAGCGCCGATAAATTTGAAGTTTGTGGCCCAGATTGACTTTCACGAAGCAAGGACGCACCGAATTAGTAGAGCCGCAGGGACTGTTTTAAGGAGAGCGAATTACGTATCGTATCAAGTGGTTACGTCATACGTTTCCGCTTTTCTTTAGAGAGGAATTCCTATTGTTGTCACCAAGGACCATGCAAGTTGGATAAGGGGCTTTTCAGCGGCTTTGATGGGGAAACGTTCAAAACCCCAGTGTAAATATATTGTCCTTTTAAGCGGAAGGGTACTGCTTGGTCATATACATGGAGTTTTTAGCCTCCATGTATAGACCAAGCCAGTACTACAGATGCAGGCTCTTCCTACATCTGTGGCAGCCTTGTGGAGTCTCCTTAGTGCTCAGGGTTGCCATTAAAAACTTGTCTGGTGATTTGAAGGCCTCCCAGCCGTCTAGATCGAAAACTAGCGCATAATTTCAAAAGTAACTCTCGTTTTAATTCTGGCTAAACTGCCTACATATCTATAGTTCTGGAGCCAAGGACGGTGCAGGAGATGAGTTACACTCTGTCCCGAGTTATGGAACATAGAAACTTTTGCAGTCAATTCAATTCATTGCGTGAAAAGGCCATATCAACAACAACGTATGCACCGTCATCATAGATAAGTTGTTGCCAACAAACCAAATAAGGTGGGATTCTTGCTCTCAGGGGCTTCTCGGTTCAGCGAAAGGTGGTATAATAATCTTTAGGTGCTCTTGGCGAATCCTGATCCCACCAAAGAAGTGATGACTGCTGACATAGATGGGAAAGAACAGGTAATAAAAAACGGTAGCTACGTTAAGTCAGGGCGCACGACAGGAGCAGTACAGTCTCTAGCTCCAGAATGGAGCTGTGTCATTTTAAAAACGTGTTGTGGTCTTGTGTATTGTGGAGTTGGCAAACTTTGGTGGATCGTGCGGATAAAAGTTGCACTTTCAAGTCTTGCGAGTTCTTCCACCTTCACAAAATTCATATAGAAAAAAAACGGCCATTACCCTGCGCAACCCAATATAATTGTGAGAAACAGAGTAGGCTTACTTCTCCCTCACACTAGCTACCTCAAGTCAGTCCGTAGTCGAGATCGCAGTACGTAAGGAGATTACTCTATGTCTGCAAAGGAGCTACATAGCAAGACCATGAGATGAACGAAAATAACGCTAAAATTTCTCCCTACATATATAGAGTTTTTGTAAAAACAATCAAGGCTACGAGTGGACTGTTGAAAGACTTTTAAAAAATGTTCTTTAGCGGCTGCTTCTGCGCAGCAGGGCCAGACAGAAAATGCTCAACAAAGGCAGCCACAAAATCCGAGAAAGAAGTCAAAAGATGATCGTCGAGAAGATCGAGTGAAAGGAAGGAAGAAGGAGAACAGCGACGATTACTACTACTACGATCCAGAAGATCTTCTTCCTAATGGGCAAGGAGAAGGCGATCCCGACTATGTGAGTGAATGATTAAACTATCACCTAACATTGGCATTAACCACAGAACCACTTTGATTTGGATATAAAGGCAACTAGAGTTTGAGAGAATTGTGGAAAGAGTTGTATTCAAACAGCTCTAACAACTCGGAACTGTGGGACGTGCTTCTCAAGAATGATCCTTAGTGCTTCAGCGCTTGTCTAGCTTGAGCTATGTATATTTGTTTTAGCCCAAGCTTATAACATGATCTCGATTAGTACTCTTTATTTACCCTAATCTATAATTAATGCCCGCCCAATCGCACTCAAAAACATCCTGACAATCTGTATGAGGTCTTGGTGAAGACTCGAAGATTTTTAGCATTCATATTAAGCTAGTATTTCGGCTCTCATTCAGTTAAAGCTAAAAATATTAGTGGACATCTGAGATAGTTGCGCTTGAAGACGAACAGTCGTTTCCAAGCAACGTGAGTGGGACCGTAATAGCGTGCTACTTTATCCGCCTAAAGAGTGCGTGAAAACTTGAACTGTTCTGCGTGGTCCTGTTGAGAAAGCCTGTAGCACAGGGAACAGCGGTTGCCAAAGCTTCAAAAGGTGCAAAAAACGTGTGGCAGGCTGGGGTATGACCTTTTTCGAAACAGACGACTCCATGGCGGGTGAACCACCTATCATGTG